ATAACTTTGCTCGAGCAGTTGTTTTAAAATTTTTTGCGTCAGTTCTAAAGACCGAGTTCTTGTTAAACTTGTCAATCGTTCAATTATTATTATTAAAGTAACTTGATTTTCGTTTAAATAAATATTTATCCTATCTATTAATATATTTTAATACGTCGTCCATTTCCATTCTATATTTAGATATTCTTATACTTAATATTTTCATTGTATTCAAATTTCTAAATTTATTCTTTACGTTTTACGTCGGAATTTTAAAAAAAAAATCTTTTTTTTCTCTTTTTTTTATAATTTATAATATAATTTCGTTTTCAATAGCATTTTTCTATTCAAAGTTTTAATCATTTCAAACATTGAATCAAATTCTAAAGCCGGATTTATAATCGAATAGAACAATCTCCGCTGAATCGATTGCATATTTAACGCGTTTGCAAACTTTGAACGCTTGTCGGATGAATTTTTCAACGTCTCACACCATGGAATTATTTGTTTGGTGTGAATTGTTAAACATGCTCACTCGACCAGTTAAATACAGTTTGTCCAATGTTAAAACGCATTCCGCAGTGACTAGTAAATATAGAGATATTTTGCCGAAAACCTTGCGTCGAGTAAGACGGAAGACGTTCATTAATTAAAATTGATTAGAAATGTGAAATTTACTGTTGAACAATTTTATAATTGATTGTCCATTTATCTATTCAAACGAAAATAAAATTTTCATCTCAAATTTCACATGTACACATCTATAATTCAACAAAATATTTAAAAAAAAAAAAAAAATGATGAAAAAATATTATACGATTCAAATTTACGCGGTAAAAATAGAATCTATTATTAGATAATAGATGGCAGAACGAGAGCAATGAGAAAAAATTCGTATAAATAAATATATCGCGTATTTATCCTATATTTTTTTAATACCTGAAATTTAATAAGTAAAAATAAGTATTAATTAAATTAATACTAAAAAGTAAATTTTCTTTTTAAATCTATGAAAAAAAAAAAATAGGAAAGAGATAACAAAAGATAATATCCTATGAACATCGGTTTGCAAGGAAATGGAACGATCTCGATACGTAGACAGAAGGCCACGTTATTTAACAACGAGATCGCGAAACAAAAAAAAAAGAAAAAAACCAACTATTATCTCGCTAGTTGCACAATCCTTGCAAAAGCGAGTTTTGCACTCGAAAGGTCGACTTCTGCCAAAGTCTCGGCGATCGTAGCTCTTGGTTTGCTCGTATCGACGATCACTTTCACCATCGAGATACCCTTTTTTTTTTTTTTTTTTAACGCGCGGTCGATCTCGAAAAAAAGGAACAAAGAGGCAATGAATACAAAAAAAACAAAAAAAAAAAAAAAAGAAAAAAAAAAAAAAAAAAAAGAAAAAAAGAAAGAAAGAAAGAAAAGAGGAATAAGAGGAGAATAATTGCACGGGTCGATCGTGTAATTCATTAGTCGAGAGACGAACTGTTGAATGGACAGCAATTTTCGGTAATCGTCGATTGCACGACTCGATGAGTCGTTATTCAGATCCGCGTTACGTATCCGGACTGGTGGCAGCCAGAGTGGAAGAAAGGGTCTTCAGGATTAAAAGTTGCAGAGCTCGAGTGCAGACGGGACGGTGGAGAAGGGGGAAGAGGGGTCGTTGTTAGAAAGGGGAGAAAATTTACGCCTGAAAAGAGATGCCGCACGGTGAAAAGGAGGAACGAGAGGGCTCGAGATGTACGGGGTGTTTCGCCAGAGAAAAGAATGGTGCGTTGATGTAGCCAGAGTCGAGAGGATGTTTTTTGGTAAATATTGTCTTGTTTCCAGAGACTTAGATGCGAAGGATGCAGTGGGAAATTTAGGTATATGTTTACATTGAGTGGTTTCTCGTGTAATTAAAAAAAAAAAAAAAAAAAAACCATAAAAAATTAACATTTTGTATTTTCAATTCGTTGTAAAGTAATTTTACGGAATCAATATTATTCCAATTTCTTTTTCCACGAATTAATATCGAAAATTTTAATAAATTTAAAAAATTCATAAAAACAATTGAAAAATAAACAAAAATGTAAGGATTAAATTGATTTTCATGAATTTTAAATTTTATTTATTATTCGCACAATTTTATGCAATCTAAATACGAAATAATATTTATATTCGATTTTTCACTTTATCGATAACTATATTCCAAAAAATGATCGAAACTTGGTATACTATAGCAAGATCTATAAATCCTATTGATCGAGCTTATGATCGTCCGGTATACGTGATATTTGACGAATGATATCGACTGTGTGACGGGCCATGGTTACGTGGAAATGTCAGGGATTTTATCCGCGGCAATGAAGCGTTTTGTCGATGGTGAGCAGGGGGGGGGCCACGAAATTCGGCCGATCGAACAAGAAAAGCCCG